ATTAGAAGTGCCTAGTAAACATATCCTATCACCCCTTTCAGCCGGCTGCGTTGGATCGCGTGTGTCCTGTCTTTAAATGAAAGAGCATACAAAAGTATGCAAGTGTACCAATTTTCACACTTTTTTCACATTTTGAACGATTTCGATGGTATCCTGACCTAACCGACTGTACTAATTTGCTTGTCTATCTTTTCAGGTTTTGATACTGTATTTTTGATATTATCATGTTCTTACCACGCCCAATGCTTCTGCACTACTGTCAATTAATCTGCTACTAGTATCTATGGCTGCTCACTATTACCTATGCTCACTCAATCTCCTATGGTTGCTTTACAGTGAGGAGGAATTGGGGTGGGGCCCATTCCCAGTTATTTAAAATCAGAATTTCAGCTTTCCTGCATATCCCAGTTGACTTCTATTCCTAAATCGCAAGAAATTCATCTGTCATTGCCTGGTACCCAGATAATTAAATTGGTCCAATTCCACATCCCGAAAGTATAACCATTTCCCCACTTACAGTATGTCATAACTGTTATCACTCCTGTTATGTCTATGTGCCATGTCTAAGCATTAATTGTGACATAATTAATTTTGTTCATTGACCTGCAGGTGATATCGGCCCAATATGTATGCCAGGGCAACTACACAGGCAGTCCGCTCGTAGAGGTGGAGATTGTCGGCTTACCGATGGATTGTAACAGGCAGAAGACTAAAATAGTGCCAAGGAATGCTCTTAATCCGATCTGGAAGGACACCTTAACGTTTAAGGTGACGATGTGGTGCTATGTTCTAGCAATCAGCTTAACTAGATTTACCTATTTCCATCTTGATCAGATCATGTTCAAGGAACTATAGCATTTCTGCTCTAGTGATCAGCAGAGTAGATGTACTTTTTCTTATAATTAGATCATGTTCAAGGAGCTATAGAGTTTGTGCTCGAACAATCGGCGTAACTAGATTGACTTTTTTTCCATCTCGATCAGGTCATGTTCAAGGAGCTGGCGTTCGTGCGCTTCACGGTGTCCGACATGGGAACGAACCATGTGAGCACGCAGCGAGTGATCCCTCTGAAGTGCCTGCGGCCGGGCTACCGGCACGTGCACCTGCGCAACCCGCACAACGTCAAGCTGAAGGTGTCCAGCCTCTTCATTTTCTCCAAGTGAGTGTGTTGTACGATGTTGATGTTGTACAAGCATATACCGTGCCTTCTGCAGACTCAAAGAGGAGGGTGAGAGGAGGAGGAGGAGGAAGAGGGATTGTGACTGTGATTGTGATTGTGGCTGTGATTGTATTGTGATTGTGATTGTGATTGTGACTGTGATTGTATTGTGACTGTGATTATATTATGATTGTGATTGTGATTGTGATTGTGATTGTGATTGTGACTGTGATTGTATTGTGACTGTGGTTTTGACTGTGATTGTGACTGTGGGTTTGACTGTGATTGTGACTGTGGGTTTGACTGTGATTGTGACTGTGGTTTTGACTGTGATTGTGACTGTGATTGTGATTGTGATTGTGATTGTGACTGTGATTGTATTGTGATTGCGATTGTATTGTGATTGTGATTGTGATTGTGACTGTGATTGTATTGTGACTGTGATTATATTATGATTGTGATTGTGATTGTGATTGTGATTGTGATTGTGACTGTGATTGTATTGTGATTGCGATTGTATTGTGATTGTGATTGTGATTGTGACTGTGATTATATTATT